AAGAATGCATTATTAAAATATTATTAGCAATATTTCTTCAAGGGAAAAAACCCTGATACTAGGTGCTAAGAATGAAATTGGGTTCAAACTTTTAGTTGTTTATGTTTAAAATGGCCAGCATGGACTGGGACAGTAGCGCAGGTTAGTTTCCAGTGTTCCAGCATTGACTTGCATAATTGCTGTGTAAGCTGTAAGCTGTGAAATAAATGAACACATACATATAACATTAGCATACTGTTATATAAACTGTAATATGAGGAAAAGTATGCATAAATTAAGACAGTACAGTGATTGTGTCAACTGATTGTATCAACTTTGACGAGTTTTGAGTTTGACATAATTAATATTATTATACATCTGTTACCGTAACACCGTAAGTTACAACGTGCCGTAATTTTGCAGTATTTTACGGGGTATTTTCATCCCACCATATTAGAAAATGCAAATTCCAAATATGGAATGATTACGCGCGTAAGCATCCTCTAATAATAAAAACAAACATGGCTGCCATCGGGGTTTGACCGGACTCCACACAAAGAAGTTTGCTGTTTCTGTTGTAAACTTTTTGGATTTCGGCATTCCCATGATGTATCCTTGGAAGGAAAAGATGTATAATAACAGTAACTCAGACAGTACGCCTGCATCGATACTCCAGCTGTACTGTCTTTGTGCAAACTTTGAGGTATTCTTGTAATAACCTCATATTATTCGTATAATGTACATCTTTTGACCCACATTTGAGAAGACTCCTTAATTGTCTACATACCTTATTCAGCATCGGCTTTGTACTTAAAACATTAAATATACCAGGAATCCCAACATTCTAGAAATTAACATAGACTCAATGGTTACTATATTATTCTGTTGGAACATATGTACTGATATAAATAACAGGGATATTGTTATCTCATTAATATTGACTGGGTTTTGTTTCATTTTAGTGATATTTTGCTAAATTGAATGCATATGACCATGTAAAATTACAACTCAATGTTTTACTGGAAAATGAAATCTAGTGAATATGAACAAATATCAAAACAGAGAAATTTACCCATTTATAGTATTTTAATAGTTAAAACAATAGATGTATTTTTTATACAGTATACATGTATAAAGATACAGTATATGGAGTACCCGTAAATCAAAAATTTTGTCTTAGCGAAAAACAAAACAGTATAAGTTGAATCAATGATGTTTACAGAATGGGGGCTGATTTGTATAACACTTGGTGGAAGACTACGTGGTGGTAAACAGGGCAATAAGCAACCTCTTCACTGAATACTAGTAATTACTACTGTTTAATTCATAATGTGAAAATGGAAATTATCGGCATACCTTCTGTGTTAGTTTTTTCATGCATTTTGTTGCTGGTGTTCTCCGATCATCTATGAACAAAGGCGCTTTCCAGTGATCGTAGTTAGTTTCCAAGATGAACCATGAATGGCCGGTTTCATTCATACTACAACAAAATAAAGGAATTATTATTTAAACTTTGACTGTTATTAGTAGGGAATCCAATATCATATGGACCAGATATTCATATACTGATAGTCTATTAGGCATGCATCACACCCACTCAACGGAGGTCACAATTACGTTTCCTTCCTACATACACAATATTAGTATCTATACTGAATTCATTTGATTCAGAAAAGGATGAAGCTTTCACAAGTCTTTCAGTTACCTCTACATATAATGCAAAAAAAAAATAGATAAATCGATACGAGGAAGAGCAGATATTGGCTATAAATGTGAATGGTAAGTTTTGCATGTGCAGTATTTCACCAGGCAAAAGAGTATTTTGCAATCATTTTTATCGGTAAATAATGCTCATAGTATGTGACATATGACTAATGTTAAACTGAGTATCTATAAGAAAGTAACAAAAAAGTCTTGACAACTGCAAAAAAACGAATAGATTCTTTAGGTCAGCTAACGGAGAACATTCACATTTTTGTTAAACCATTGTTTTCATTCTATATACTGGTATCTGGTTTTATATTCCAACATTATACAAAGTAGATGTATACACTGTAAACTGCTTTAGGGTAATTTCATGAGAGACAATTGTTCATGATGCAGTGAAAATCATACATTTTTGTACATGTAGCAGTGAACATTTCTCTGGGATCCTTATAATGACATAGAGTGTCAGCCTCGTAACAAAATTTTGTCTTAATAAATGCCATAAAACCCTGAAATCCTAAAAATTACTAACAGCGAAAATTAAATGGATGTAGTTTGTAAATTGTGCTAGCTACCAACCTCCAGACGTCATCTGCTTTCAACCTATCTCTGGTGATAACAACCGCTTCTCCTGATTGGTTGCCACCCAGAATGAAATACGTTGGTGCCAAGACTTTGCTGTTTACCAATAGGTCTTTAGCTTCACTGAAACTGATAAGGTACAAATAATTAATAATTGCATAAACTAGTAATTAGTAGAACATTGTAATGAGCTTATCAACAAAACAAGCCAAATTATTCCACATTTCATATTTTTGTTGAGAAATAGAATGTATGCAGATTTACACTACCAGTTTCCTTTTTTTTCATTACAAATCCACAAAATAGTCCAGTTTATAGCCTACACTGTCCTTCAGAAGATTGGAACAAAAATATCCAAATTAAATAAAAACTGAAAATTGACTAAAATTTTTTCTGTTGGCTCCATAATTAATGTTTGTTTCCAGAAATATTGAAGAATATAAGAAAAAGGTACAGAAAAATGTGGACGAGAAAGTCTAATGGCGAAAAGGCTAAGTACAATGGGTGGTTACTATACACAGGTTGGTCTGTATTTACACAGTGAATGATACAGAAAAGAGAAAGTTAGACTTAATTGAGAGGAGATTAATACCTGTTACTGCTATCTAGTGCATCCCTGGTGATAAATCCAATCCATTTAGCATCCCTCTCACCCAATACCCATTCAATAAACCCAATAAATCCACCATTTAGATTAAACCGCTCATTCATTGTGACCGTGAATACATTCTACACAGAAAATAATCATAATAATATTATGAATTTGTTAAAAAAAGCTGGAAAAGCTTTGCCGTTGAATAGAAGTTTGTTTGACATGTTCCTGTCACATGACAAGTAATACAGTTTGTAAGTGAACTCCCGCAACCCAGTAATTACAATTATGCAGATGCTGGAATTCAAAATATAATTGATAGCATCAGAAAGATTCCAGAATTCAAAGCACTGTCCCAATCACAGATGTGTGTGTCAAAATCAATTGCAAAAACAAATTTGCATGGAAAAACACACACTTTTGAAAGCAAAAAATAGCAACTTCAATATTCCCAAATAAAAAAACTAGCTCAAAACTGCAGGAAAAAATAATTTCTAATGGTCTGTCACTTACCGGTTTAATACCAGTGAGTACACCTACATATCCTGCAAAGTGGACTGCTTTGTATACAGTCTTACCAGCCCGCTGATAGTCTACATTGATTGTGATTGGGCGTAACGTCTCCGTAATCCACCATGTGTCGTTTCCGGTGTCCCATCTGTATGCAAAACATAATAAACTTTAAAGAGAGTGTTCTTTTTTCATTTATTTTAAGATTTTTTGCAAAATATCAAAAATTTGTAGTCATTTACATATTCTGCATTTTTACTACACTGTAGTTACAGTCACAGATTCTTTAAAAGAAAAATTTCTGTCAAAATAAAAGTTCTATAAATACTTACCCCAGGAACAAACCAAAGTCCAGATTTCTAGCATGGTATAATTTTCCTGTCAAAATATACAGCAAAAACATTCAAACAAATGAATTTATTTTTTTCATATAAAATTTTATATTATCTTGCATAATCCGAACAAATACTTGCTAACATATAATCTAATGATGATCACATGACACTGAGGTACAGATCACATGACATGATGATGATCACATGACATGGTGCAGGTCACACACCAGGATTAAATTTCTCACAGAAACACATGTAATTTGCAAGAAATAAATGCCAATCAAAGAAAGCTTAGAAAGAACTCCCATGTGCTGAGAGTATTGGAGACACATTAAATATAATTCGAAATTACTTAGCTGAAAACTAATTATGCAAATCAGAAAATTAATATGACCAGATTTGAGTGTAAAACTAATGAGGTC